CACAAACTCTCCCAAGTTACATTTCTCTGTATTTTTTGAGATATTACTGTAATAGCAGACTAAGRCTACTGCAAAATGCAGTGGTTTTAAATATGAGCCAATCCTACAAAACAATCTGACATAATGGTTAGAAACAAAACCTACAACTAAACATGAGGTTATATTTATTAAGCACATCTTAGACTTCACCCACTTCTGCATGAGGCACCCAGTTAACTCTGCTTGTGACAGAAGCTGCATTTAAGATTCTGAGGTACACCAAGCTAATAGGAACCTAACCGTTAAACAAGGTCTAATTTCAACAGTAAGCTGCTCCAAACAGCTCTGCATACCACCAAAAGACACCCAAGTCCTCAGCACCAACAACTGCCCACATATACATGAAGGCTTTTGAGTCATACCTTTATTCCTGAAAGACTTAAAACAGCTTGATACTTCAACTCACACACAAGGTGCCTCAGAATTGCAAGATGGAGATACCACCACTTTTTGGGCAGGTTTTGGCTTCTAAATGAAAAGCAAATTCCAATTTTCTTGCTTTTATGTCATCTGTGACACTGCTGATGGGTTTCACAATGCCGTATACTGTTAAAACTTGGCTCTAAAGTTGCTCAGGCTTAACAGTTTGCCTACATGTCTGATCTCTTGCCACAGCTATGATGCAGAATGTCACCACCAACATGTAAGTACCTTTCATAAAGAGTTCCATTGCAGTTTTTTTCATCAGGTGCTAAGCTTGGTWTTTCCAGAGCTGCGGAGGCCACTTTCTCACCTCATTCAGCCAGTCCAGAATATCCTTTCTTGTTTCTACAGCATGAAAACAATGATGTTCCCATCTTGTTAGCAAGCTGAATGCATTCTTTGAAAAATCAAGTGCTCAGTYCCCAAGACCATTTGTACATGGAGTTCTTTCACAGAAATGTCAGCAGGGATGAAGGGACAGAGGCTTTATCTGCCTCCCCCCTGCTTAACCTCAGATAACATCACCACTGCTGAAAGCAAACGCCAGGAGTTATTTTATCCAGTCTCGGCAACCAGAGAGGAACATGAACAATACAGCAGATTACAGGAGGGAGGATAATCAGTATATGGTAAAGCAAGCACAAACACAGTACTTCAGCCTTTGCACTAAACAGGACACTTACCTGCCTCACATTTTGTTTTCCTAAGCTTTCCTTTCACTTATAGGCTCTTGTTTACATCATATAGTAAAAGCCAGTTGCTACACTCCTAATGGTGAAACATGGCCTGAAGATCTGGCAAAAAGGCTTTTTACYGAAGCCAAGCACAGGCTGCTGAACTGCTCACATCCACCAAGTACACTGGCAAGCCCCAGCCTGGCCTTCAGCCCAGCCGTTTCTCACCACAGCAAGCAAGTAGGAACCAGGGCGTAGTCTGCAAARTTCATTCCTATTCATCCAAAAATAAAAACCAGAGGTCCTCCTGGCTGTTTTCTCCATTTTGTAGCATCATGCAACTTCCCTGTGAGGAACTGAAGTTCTTGTTGCAAAGTCTTACCTCATTCCCATAAGCACAAAATCTTGGCATTCACCTCACTGAAGACAAATCTCAATGAAAAGGACTTACCAGTGTGAATCTTATTCGCTTGACAGGATGACCAGATACACTCAGTATCTTTGAGTGACATTCTGAAACTATTAAGTTCTTAGGACTGTCTATAATGTAATTCACAGTTTTTATAGAAACTGTTTATTAGAATAAAGCAAGAAATGTCATCTGCATTTGYCTCCAGCCCACCAACTGATGGCTCTTCACTTGCTGGAAAACTTACTTAAGTTAAAGATTAGCAGAATTTTGTGCAGCTCATTACAAAAGATTAGAATTACCAGTGAGATTCTCTAGCATGTGATAATCATCTTCTCAGCAYTTTTTTTAAAATACCCAATTATTGCCGTATTTAGATTACTCCCTGGATTAGGAACTGGTATTTAATTACCATGTTCCACTAGTGCTTGTACATCTTTAAATCTGCAACACAGACATATTACTTATAATTAACTTTGCAGTAGGTCCAGTATCAAAGATTCACCTCTCTCACTCAGTTTTACAAGTCAGAAATTGCCTAACRCAGGATAAATAATGCAGGCCCTTTTTATTCCATGCTGTGTGCAATTTTATGTTGGAATTACCAGCCTTGTTGCCAAAAATGTCCTTGATTCTTGGGCTTCGAGACAGCAATTTGTACCTCACATTCTCCCTTTTTTGCACCAATTAAAACCTGCAGGTGCACTAACGTTGTCATCTGGTACATCAGACATGCTTTTCACCAAATGTGTGCTATTAATAAAATTGGCGCATCAGGGGACTTGTGAATGCTCTRTTTGCTGTTTCAGTGCTCTCAAGGCCTTCCAAATATTTTGCTAGTGCAAGACCAGACAATAAATTTTTACCTTTAAAGTAAACAGAGGTTGTCATAAAAACTTACGTTCAGTTGGAAACACAACTTTCTCACTCACTTGATGCATGTTTGAAACAGGCAACTTAACTGCAACTTGTAACTTCAGGACCATTTGAGATTTAAAGGCCAGACATGATTGTTAAGGTCATCTACATTGTTCTGCTGAACACAGGTCACAGAATTTGCCTTTATTTCTCTTGAAACGCACTACAGCTCAGAGAGAAAATGGGCTTTAAAAAATAACAACAAATTAATGAGTCTCACCACTCTTGAGACAGGTAGCAGAAAACAAGAGACATTTGATGTCAGTAGCAAAAATAAGCATTAGTTTAAAAGTGCTGATACTTCGCTCCATTCCAGTGAGGGAAAAATTTACCTGCATTTCCTAGAGACCATCTAACCTCAGYACAAAAGGTCTTCCTTTAACGATGAGACAATGGGTTAAAAGTACTACAAGCACTGATCAAAAGTTCCCCAAACTTCTTGTTGTAATTGTTTGGGGTTTTCTTTCCCCACTCTACTAAGTGATGACACTACAGTGGGCATCATGGCACTAAATGCAGGGCAATATATCTACTTTTATGGGGAACAAACCCCATTTTAAATGAACCAGAACCTGATGATGGTTCATTTTAAATGAACCAGAACCAAATGAAGCTGAACCAGAATTCAGAGGACTAAACTCTGCCATCATTCCTCATGGACCTCCCCTCCACAGCCTCTATCAGAGAGGTGTCAAATCTCTCCATTCTATTGAAAGGTCAGTTCTCATGTAAGACTCAACAGCAGTCCCACTAAAACCATGCYAGATTTTGGATAACTCTTTAATCATTGAAAGAACTATTCTTTTGCAGCATATTTTACAGCTTAAGAGACTTAACACTGAAACAGGAGGGCATCCAACACTCAAGTGCAGAGAGGTTTCTGTTCAAAAACCTAWGGCACACAGCCCTGAGAAAACTGACTTTGGTCCCAAGTCCTCCACACCTAAAAAGGTGTTTTGTCTGAGTAAAATGCCTGAAGTAATTAAGGGATTAGTGGTGACTTTAGAGCACTTTATTTTACAAAAAGCATTCTCAAGTGGAGACCCTAACAGGAATTTTCTTTTTCCCAAACATGATGAAGACAATACTACCATCCAAATGGATTTGGGTGGAAGGGTAGTCCCAACTGGGCAGTCAGGGAATAAACCCATGGCATCCTTTAACATGGCATTCGCRCCCTACCACCTGTGAAGGAGCAATTTTTGTACCACTCTTGTTCTGAATACAGGAAAGAAAAAGGACGTTCCCTCCAAGCTTCTAGGTGTTTGCAGGGCATGTGTAAAAGTATCTGTCTCCATCCAGCCCTATGCAACTCTGGGTGTCAGTTTTATAGAAATAAATTAATAAAATTATTTTTGAAGATGCCTTTAAATAGTTTGCTTATTTCAGCAGTCATTTAACTGAAAAGGAAAAAAAAAAATTAAGAAACAACCGAATTTTTAACAACTTTCTTCAGCCAGAGATGACCATAAATTTTACAATGAAGACTGTACACCTGGGAGGGAATTCTGTTTTCACAATATGCAAAACTGATTAAGTGGCAGCACTTTTGCTGAACACATTTGMACACTTCAGAGGGAAACACATTGTCTAATACTCTCAAACACTTCTTATTTCACCATGAAGTATGTACAGAATTAAATAAGAAAAAAAATACACAAACAAACATAGTATCAATACACAAATTGTAAAACAAATATAGACAAATGCAGTATTAAGTCGCTCATGATTAAACAAACTCAGCATGAAAAACATGATTTCATGAACTTCATGGGCTTAAAGATTTATATATATATATATATATATTATTTTTAAGGGGGTATGAGACAGGATTCCCATCAGAAAATTGAAAATAAATTAAAAATGCACTAGTTTTGTCAATTAGTGTCTGGGCCTAGGAGGGTAGACTTGGTTATTTTTCCTCTCAAAATAGAATTCTGTAAATGTCACTCGTGACTACAGGACATTTCCTTGAAACTCTGGATAACCCTTCTTACTGATAACCCTTACACTGCAACTGCAGACAGCAGTCCCCGGGGGTTGGGGGAGACAGCACATCTGCTTATTCCCTCTACCTGATTTGTCAGGACCCATGCTAAAATACACTTGGACATACCTAAGCTGGGTCAGCAACAGCAAAATATTCCTACACAAACCASGCAGGACTCAATACATTTTGGACAGGGTTCTGTTCTATTGCACCAGGGTTATGTTCCAGATATTGAATGAAGATATGAAGAACAGACCAAACATACACAGAAAGACTAAGRTATCAAACAGATATTACAGTTAATTGTTTTTACATGGAGTAATTCAGATCAGAGTTGACCACCTAACTTCCAAACAGACAGGTAAGAACTGGATGTTAGCTACACAKCTGTTCAATTTTTTTGTAATCTAGTGAACTGAATAAATGACAATCCTGCTTATCTCATTTTCACGTTTCAGGATATTACCAGCTTTACCTTTCTTATCCTGAAGGCTCCAGTAAAGCCTTCAGGGGYTAAAGAAGAAACGACAGATTCTAAACCATCCACAAAATGTCGTAATGTTTTGTTGAAATAAAAGCTTTAGTGTTTACAGGAAAGAAAAGGTCTTCATTTTCTGCAGGATTCCACAGCTGCCAAGACGTCTTGCAAAATGCTGTTTCTGTTTTCCTTACTAACCTAGASAAAGAGAAATTAAAACTGATATAATTTGATGAATAGCTTCTATACTAGTGTTTACTTCAAAAATAATCAAAGCAGAAATTCAAAWGCATTTCTTTTTCAGTGCAGGAATGATGAGTGTCAAACACCTGCCTTCTTCTGCTTAACCCACAAAACTGAGAACACAGTATGCTTAACCCACAAAAGCTGCAATTGAATATTTAGTGATCTTTTTTATTTAATTACCCATGGTATTTTGCAGTATTATTCAGGGCTTGAATAACTAACAAGAATCACTCAAAGAACCAGCATGTACTTTTGTAATAATTATAAATCCTTTTCAACTACCAAATTTAACTTTCCTACTATAAAGCAAAGTTCTTATGCCTTCATTACTTGAAAGGGTTATATTCATAAAGATGACAGAACCAGTCAAAAACATCTGCAAAGAAAAAAACATTAAAACAGGCTTAGCAGTATAACTCTGTACTCTGAGAAACCTTATTAYTGCAGGAGAGAAACACCACAGAAAAGAAATAAGACTACTTGAGAAAGCTGGGATGTTCTGTAGCACACTGAGATACGCCTTTGGCTGACCAATCCATGGAAATGCTGGGCTTTAAATCCAGCATATGTGAAATTCCATGTAGTCCAGTGTCATGTTTTTTGCTGGGCCCATCTGCATTCCAGTACATACAGATGACTGTAAACTGCCAGGCAAAGTCTGGCACTTGCTAGTCAGCTCCACTGCCAGGGGCACAGATCTGGGGGGACTGTGTGGGTGTAAATTATCCCTTCCTGACAGACRGGGTCCTGATCTAGAGCCCTGTGACCCACAGGGCTGTGCATTACTCACTCACACAAAACCTGGGGAGATGACTGGGGTTGTAAAGGGGTAACAAGCAACAGCAAAGCGTCAGCAAAAGTTCACTTTAAAAAGCCTAAGAAATTTTCCCCACGGTTCAGATCCCTGCAGAGAGGGCCGGAAGAAATCAGACAAAGACACATGAGCTGAAAAAATAAGTAAGGGCATTCATATAAAGCTGTAGAAAAGCTGTTTGACAAGTAAAGAGAGACACAACACCATGCACAGCATAAAACTCTCTACCAGCAACGTTCTACCGCACTCCCTATATCTGCATTTAAGATRTGATCACAAGAGTTTGTGCCTTTCCAGTACTACAGTCAATAATAAGCAGGAGAAAGTATTACTATTATTATTTCTATTGTTAAATAGGTGACAATTCTATCCTAAGAATTTGGCACTAGGAGTCCACCACTATTTACAGTCACACACATCCTATCCAAATGCTGTAAACCAACACTGTAAAACCCACTGACAGTGGAGTCACCTACCACTGAATTCAAGACAGCAGATCAGCATGGGACTAATGAGAAAGTGACACTGAAGGAAAGAAAAAAGGTGGGAGGGGGAGGGGAGAGAGTAATGAAAGGGAAGATCTGCCTGAAAATGTCACTGTTTTTATTGACAGTCAGTCCAAGCTTTTGTAAGACAAACATAAAACCCCACAAAACCAAAGAGAGCAAGACAACAAAGAATGCTCTACAGTAAGGCTATTGAGACCCTACAGTAAACAACACAGCAGAGAKGAGCCAAACTCTAAATCTCACAGCAAGTGCACCAATATCCTGACTTTCAAAGAACCTTCTGCACATTTAATAGCTCTTCCCACTCTCACAGCCAACAAAAACAATACTACATTTTATCTATCCTTTTTCCATACCTACATGCCAGAAGTCCAGTGAGAGCAGCAGAGAGAAAGTGCCAAGTGCTGGGAAATTTTCACAACTGTTTTACAAAGGCTGCTTGATAGATATAAGTCTCCTCTTAAGATGTGGAGACATTCTGTGCAGGCAGCTTTCCCAGAGAGAACAAATCTCCCAGTATCTGTACTGAATGTACAAACAGATGGGTACRTTYTWAGACAAGGASKTGAAAATAACTGTAGATGYTGCTTATCTTAAGCATTTATGTAATTTGGAGGAAATTACCACCTAGACTCCAAGCAGGCAACTGTGGGGGACAAAAGCTTTCTTCCCCTGTTAAAAACACCATCAAGGAAACCAGTCATGTACAATCTGTTCAAATGGAGCCTTTTCTTCTTCCTATCCATTTAACTATTTTCTGTTTTAATAGGCACATGCAACCACACTTCACTAACAGGTTTCATGCAAGCAAAATTGATAGATAGGAAAATGGGAGAAAATTAGTATCTGCCAGCTGCTAAGGATAACCTGATCCTATTCATACCACTGTGTCTGCAAAACTACACAGACGCAGGCAGTGCAAGAGGAGCCTCTGTGGTTTCACTAAAAGTTCAGGTCTCAGCAAAATAGAACTGGGCAACAACAGAAAGAAATATGTTAAATATCAGAGCTCCCATCATATAGTAAATTAAACATYTGGGACCAAATGGTCAACTGCTTTTAGGGCTTCTGGGCCCATTTACACCAACAAAATATGCTTTCAAGACAGAAGGGACTGTAAAATCCCAAACAGCTGTYCTTTCATCAGAAATGTCCTAGTGACACTAGGAGCAGAATGAAAAAACTGGGATGAGCTATTTGAATGCAGCCTAACCCCATACTAAGTGACAAGGCAAGCAGAATGCTTTTGGAAGGTAGCCATCTAGTTCTGTACACTTCCAGGCACCACACAAGTTAGAAGGAAATTACAGACTGCGAGCTACTTGGGCACACTCCAGGTTTGCCCATGCCACAGCCCTTGAAGAACACAGCRGGGGACCCAGTATTTACTTCAGCTACCAACACCTCTGACTCCCCACAGGCAGGTTCTGCTGCTGCTCATGAACACATTCTAACCAGCTGGGAAAGARCATATAGTATGTCACTGGAGCAAGAGAGACAGATGCTCTCCTGTACAAGACTTCAGCTTAGCAGGTCTGTGACACCTGGGAATGATGGCAGTCTGTCGCACATTTCACATCCATGCTTTTGGTTAATGGATTCACCAGAGATCTCTATTTAATTAAAGAAACCTGCATGTCCTAATCTCAACAGCATGAACAGGATGGGTCATTTTTTTAGTARTGACCTTTTAGCTAGAGAAAACATGGCTCCATTGAAATTTACAGAAAGACTTTGCTGGCKGCAGTCAGCTCTTGARAGAAAGATGTATCAGCAGACTGATACTGCTGAAAACCCAGAGTTGAGTAGCCCGTGCCCTCTGAATATTACCTGATAAAATGAGACAGTAGAAGCCTCAAAAGCTTCCTTAAAAAGTCAGATGCTGTTTTYTAGCCCCTTGTTGCCTCCCCTGAGAGGACCAAATGCATGCACCACTCTCCTCCATGACTGCAGCCTAAGCTTTGAATGAGTGGTACTTTCAGCAAGGCTGCTCCATCCCCTCTTCCCCAGTCCTACCACTGTAAAGCAACTCATACAAAATTCACATTTCCATGCATCTCTGCTCAACAGCCTGACAATGAACACACATCAGCTTGACGGTGGAAAACCTTGCTGTTTTATCACTGAAAGGAATGGTAGTAGTWGAACACTTATGCAAAGAAAGGAATAATCTCTCATCTTTCCTCCTACAATTGCTTTAGTGTTAATTAAATCAGCATTTAATACAATAAAAAAATTAATATGATGATGGGACCCTCAATTAAAGGTGAGGAACTTCTGAGCACTGCAGTTTTTTAATCCAACTTTGAACAGGAAACAACATAAACCAAAGATGTGAGGGATGCGTTTAGCTTGTTTTTGAGGACACTTACAGATGATAAAGAAACCTCACACATGCACTCCCAGGAACAGGCAATGTTTTGCTGGGCTAAGTTTTTGAGAACCTCACTGTAACTGATCAGAAATGTACTTTGAGGCCCTAATATTTTGAAAATTATGTCTGTAAAAATAACATAATGAATTCCAGAATTGGTACACTGACTCCAGCAAACGTACACTCCATTTACAATTATCTTTTATAAATCATTCCTGCAAACTCCACTGCCTTTTTTTTTTTTTTTTTTTTTTTTCCTTGAATATGATTACTGGTAGTATTTCTGCAAGCCAGTCTGGAAAAAAACTAAAAAGCTTAAAAATTTGACTGTATTTTAGAAGATTTAACTCTTAGGAATAATGAATACTTATAAAGCAATAATACCACAGCAAAGAAACCTTTAAAACAACTRTATCATTACTTCTGCAGCCACTCACAAGCAAAGCCAGCTGTGTGAGACTGCTACAGTAAATGCCAAATGGGATTTTTTTTAATAAGGTGAACACCTGCCCATTAAGAATAAAATGGAAACTAAAAAACTTATTTCATGCACGCTACCCACAGCTATCAATTGGCAGTAAGTTTTTAAACAGAGCCAAATATAAACCAGTAACCTAGAACAGAAGGCTTTTTAAGGATATTAAATATTACTCACATTGAACACTTTAACATCTTTCCTACTTCTTATTTCTTCAACAAGATCCAGTGGCTTTCCCTTAGGTATTGGAATAGTTCCAAGCACCACAGTCTCTGAGCCAGCCAGAATTTGACGAACAGCTTGAATAAAAGCCTGGCTGAAGAGCTCCATTTTACCAATCTCATCTATGACACAAATTCTCTTCTCTGTATCACCCCCATGATTTACCTGTGGAAAAGTGCATCAAGAAAMTGTAAACAAAAAAACTAAAAACAAGCAACAGAAGCTATTTCTATGTTGATAAAAGAAGTATCTCCTAAAGAAATGAATACAACTGTCATACTGGGGGAAGTGGAAAGTCAAAGTTACTGCTGGCAAATAAGAGACTTATAAATCCATAATTTCTTTTTCAGGAYGGATTTTTGGAAGGATGAAAACAACTGTTCAGTATAAATACCAACTACAATAGGGAATACCCATTATATCAGATATCCTTTAAAGCAGAATTCTCACAATGGTCTCATATGAGCTACTTAAYTATTAAGAACTGCACTTTGCCTATGAGCAGCTCTCAAGTCATTCTGAGGGTCAGCAATTTTTTAAAACTTTATTCTTCCCACCAAATTATGCTTTTAGTGATTACATTTAATTATGTGATCAGCAGTCACACAAAACAGTTATACAAAAAAAATACTTCCATTAAATCTAGATTTGGGAGTTTCTCCTGTTGTAGTTGTGTTCAAGGAGGGTCAAAACCAGCATTTCACTCACAACAACTGGCTTTCTTCAAAGCTGGATAACAACCAAGCCATTCACAAGCTTCTCYCACATTAGAAAAGATATATTTGAGATATACCTTATTTTATAGTCCTAGCCACTGGATAGTAGGAGAGACATCATACTAGCAGTTACCCACATTTGTGGTTTGTTTGCTTTTTCCATGTAGTGAACACAGTGCCCAACAGTGTTGCGATGAAGGCTGGTGCAAGCAGCAGGGAAGTGTAGGAGAAAACAGGGCTCATTACTACTGAGGAAAAGGCAGCTTGCAAAGCAGAGGRACTCTTCAACAGAAAAAGAAGTGCACTGCCTACCCTATTTTGGTAAAAGTGACTGAGAACTCCATAATTTGTAGAAGTGAGAAGAAAATCAACTCAATTCAAAACCATTATAGATACATTAATATGTACCAATACAAGCCATTTTATACAGAAACMAAAAAAAAAGCCCAAAAATCAAAATGTTTCCCCTTATGWGGGCAAAGTATTTGCTTCTGGGAAAGTGAAAGAACTATATAACATGCATCCTAAAATCCTTTCAAGCTAAGTCCCTACTGAGTAGCTGTTTTATCTAAAATCCTTTCACAGATCAGTGAGCCAAAAAGCCAATACTAGTCACTAGGTCACATATTGAGGAAGAAAGTATTTTGCTTTGAAAAAACATTGAAGAAACTGTCAGTCCTGCCTGATAAAGTTTGCAGAACCAGAGAGATCTTCCAGGATCTATCCCATTCTCGCTGGAGGGTACAAAGCCTTAGAAGCTGAATGAACCAGTCCTCAAGTTTAAGGAGGCTCATGCCCATTCTGTGCTGCTCTCTGATCAAACCAGAACATACCTATGACTCTCCTGCCCGCATTCTTCATTTATCTCTCATTGTTTCAGTTCTCTCATCTTCCTCACTCTCCTCCTCTGTTTTGGGCCATCTACATGAGCGACCACATTCCCACCAAACCAGTAAACAGTACTTTCTATAAGSACACATGCACTGTGTGTGTGACTCTGCTGGCCCATCTGCTGTTCTTCTCTTCCCCTTTTTGTACTCGCAGAAAGCTATATAAGTAATAGAAAAAATTCAACACTGCTAACACTCTTCTACAAAGATCTCTCTTGTATTYCACCTTAATTCAGTAGTAAAAGGATTCCAAGTACAGCACTGGCTTAATGAAGTATTTTTTATTAAACTATTTATTAACATTATAAATATAGTGACAGCGAAATTTAACATATACAGATTGTCCCATTTTATTATTACTTCCTTTATCCTTTGCCCAACATCTTTGCTTCCCTACTCTGACTTCAATGTTCCTTAACAAAAACAAGAATTGGATCCTTGACCTCCTTTTTGGCCCTTGCACCTCTTTGCTATTTCTGTTCTAGCTTCACCAAAATGTCCCTTCTTCCTTGTCCCCTTGAGCTTTGGCAGTGTAGAAAAATCACTAGATGATTTTTTTAGTAGTACAGCTCAGCAGCTGTTGCACACTGTTTGTGGTATGTTATTGCCAAAATCAGCTCTGTTTTTGTTTAATTTTGGAAGGGGAGAGGTTGGAGTAAAACAGAGCAAGGAGAAGGAAACAGGCAGTGACAGAATATTAGCAAAAGGATAGGAAAAAGATTGTGTGGAAAGTCTTGTCACAACCAGAGCACATCTTCAGTAGCAAGCTAAATCCCAAATAATCAGGCTGCTATTATCAGTCTGCAGGTATTTATACAATAGTAATCAAAAATACTCGCTGGATGCAAGAAACAAATGCTTCTACAGTAWGAAGATGGGAATCAAAAGAGGAGAAAAAAAAAGACTGTAAAACAGAGCAGCAGCAAAAGCCTTTTTCTCTGACCCATTGATTCCATGCAGATCTCCATGGTAAGCCACTCATGTAATTTGTTTGCTTTCCAGTAGGAGACAGTGGAATGGAAGAAACTTCCTACCTGCTGCCACTTCAGCCCAAGGAGGTCCTGTTCACAGGATTGTAATCTCTAAAAACACCACAATAATGACAAGAGAACAAGCCAGATTTGCCCCTCCAGGTTCCTGACCCTGAGGTCAATCAGAATCAGCAATACTCAAGAAATAAGCCATTTATTAATATCAAAAACTAGCTCTAGAAGGATCTTCCAGTAACATACATTTATCAGCAGCTTTCATAGAATACTCACATTTCTCAGCATAGGTAGAACCAACTGCTCAAACGAAACAAGGTCTACAACATATTGTCCGACCCGATATTCACGTCTTGAAGCAGAAGAATCAGAACTGGGGCAAAAAAAAAAATGCAATTCCTTCTAAGTACTGAGTTTAATGAGGATCARCTGCAGTAATTTCAAGTGAATTTATAAGAAGTTACCTAAATAAATCAAATCTTCTTAATTCTTCTTAAAAAGGAAGAAACTCTAAACCATGCATTAAGTCATACTGCAGATAGTTTGCTGTTAGAAATATACCATATGCATCCTTCACAACTATGCAAGCTCAAATTTCAACAGCGTATGGAAAGACAAGGGCATCTGAAAATTWGCACAGATATTTACACTGAAATCAAAACTCATGTCTGTAGTTCAGATCTTTGGATTTCTTAATGTCACACTACATTCAGCATCATAGCAGTAGCCCAGATCTCAATATGGGCTGCAAAACCCTTAAACAATCTTGGAAGAATACTCAGTTTGCATGTGCTGTACCACACTGGGCTAGGCGAACTTCTGTTATTAGCAGAATGCAAATTATTTTTTATCACATCAACTCTGTGTGAATGAGGTGCTAAGGTCACACCTGGACATGGACTAAGAATGCAAATCTWAGTCTAATGAGCCAGGAGAGACTGTGAGCCTCTCTGCATTTCAGAGGCAYCCTCTGGGGCTCTGAAACTCCTTCTTTTCTTAAAATTCACAGGCAAGTTTTGYAGGCCAGTCAAACATTCTTTAAAACAATGTTATATGCAATTTCCCTTTTCATTTTCCACTTCTGTGTCCACAAATTAGCTAGAGGAAACACAAAACTCTTCCTCCCTGMCCACAGTAAGGTGCTTACTTGACCTCACAGTAAAAGCCTCAGCAGTGCTTCCTCTTTATCTGGTGTAAAACAGCCAGTAAGGGAGAATACCGCTGCCTTTCAACATTGCACGGTGCATCAGAGACATGCCTACATATATAATATGTTGTATGTGTCAGCCAGGACACAAAAACCTGCCCATGAAAGCCATGTGTGCTGGAAATGACCTTCTGGAGCAACATTTAATATGCCAAAGGACTGAAGCAGACAGTTTACAATTATTAAAAACTCAGTACCTGACTCTAGATAAAGGTCCTCGGTTTCCAGACAGAGTGACAACATCAAATCCTGTTCTCCTGCCACCTTCTCTRACCTCCTGTGTGTAAAATCCATCAATAGGAATGCCTGAGGATTTTAGAGCTTGAGTGACTTTCTGTATCAAAGTAGTCTTTCCAACCCCTAAAAATAAAGAAGAAAAAAAGCACACAGCATTTATCTTCTTCTGCACTAAAAGCCCATTTTTTTTAAATGCCACAGTAATGATTCAGTTCAGAAGGAACATTGTTTACTTTTGAAGTTTGCAAATTACTTTTTCTAAATGATAGGACAGAACAGAAGCATCTTTTAAAAGTTCATCCTGTACTGACACCATGAAGTTTTATTAGTCTTTAAGAAGGCATAACAGAATGGTACAAATATCCCACGCTTCCAATTAATTGATCAGCTTAGATGAATGCATGAGCAGGTCACAAAACTTACCACAAGGCTGGTAAACACATGAGGATCTTACTGGTACTGATATCCAAGCTTRCTGGAAGACTGACTGATGATCTCCCTTCCTACCACTGATATTCACTGTTTTGTAAGAACAGAGATAAGTTCCCTCCTTTTTTAGATCAAAAGGTAAAAGCTGACTGCTATTACCAGAAACCTAACTGGTGTCCTAGAAATCAGAAGCACTCAGAGGCTGTACATGGCAAAAGGTAGTCTCAATRACAGAAAAATGTTTCTTCATGTAACTGAATCAAGAAACATTTTGACTAAATATGGGGAAAAGCTTTTCTGTTGTGAAGCCAATGAAGCCCTGAAACAGGTAWCCCAGAAAGGCTATGCAGTCTTCACATACTCTSAGGTTTTCAAGAYATGACTGGATAAAGCACTGAGCAACATAGTCTAGCCTCACAGCTGATCCTCCTTTATACCTCCTGAAGTCCCTTTTTACATGGTTTATCCTCTGACCTCGTAATTAATTTTCGTACCCTAAAACAGGTCCTTAAAATTCTCACYACCTGATATCTCCTTGCACRGTCTGATGCATTTTCTACAATGTGAACATTAGTCCTCCTCAGACATCCTTTTAATTCTTCCCCTTTGTCAAGAGATGTATGGTGGCAATCTCCTTTTAAACTCACATTTACAGCCTCTCACAAAATTTAGCACTATCACTTCATTTTTAATAACTGCTCTAAAAAGTTCAGACAACAGAAGATAATCCTGCAGAATAACCCTTCAAATTCCTGGCAATGAGGAACACAAACAAAACGTGAGATGCCTAAAGATGCCAACATAAATCATTTCAACATGCATACACCAAATTTCTTCTTTAGACTTTATCCAGATTTAGGAACTGCTTTCCTAATGGCCAATACCAACAACAAAATATTCTGTAGCTTCAAGGGCATCGAGTCAAACTCCTAAGTAAACTTTCCAAATTCTAAGAAAAGGGCTCCCTGGCAGCTGAACAACAAAAAAAAGACAAATGCAACACCCTCGGTACCTAATATCTTTTCAAGGCCTTATCTCCTGTAAATGAATTTACAATAATTTTGCTAAGTGGATTTGCTATCTCTATTTTGTTTACATCTTTTCAGCAAACTGCCAAAGAAAGCTAGTGATTCAAACTAAGTTTAAGAAAGTTTGAAGTTATACATGGAGCTAACCAAAACAGCACACTGAATTTCAGATAAACTAAGAGAAAAGGCCTTGACCAAGCAGCCCTAACCTCTGCATCTCCTGAAGGACTGTCTTCATTCAACGGATGGAAACCCTGAGTGAAGCGGGTGGAATGTATTCCTACCTCTGCCTAGCAGCAGCATTTTAAATTAATGCCAGTCAAAACAAGCATCTGCAAGAGGTTCACAAAAAGGATTATCAGACCCACTGCTTTTCTCCCACACCACAAAGGAAAGCTTTGCTATCATAACAGCTGGTTAATTTCTTTATCAACCATAGAATTCGACCCTCATACTGTCCCACTCGGCCTCCACAATAATCAGACTCCTTTACCAAGACAAACTACTCCACTGCTTCAGTCAAGGCCTGCCYATCCGGGACGCCAATTATTACCTACACCTGCACATCACTGAGGCTGAAGTRCTAAATCACTACAACTAAATTACAGGAAAGATGAGCTCTCAGAAATTATTAATGACTGCAGTTTACAATGAAGCAGGATTAATTGTCCAGGTGCTTTTTTCCCCCAACACTCTACTCCACGGCAGCAGCCAGGGAAAAAGCAATAGCGCCTGTACAAGTACATGCCTTGGAGGGCTGGGTGGAGAGATAAAATAGCCTTTCATTAGTGACGAACTAATTAGTTCAGTATCTCTGACCTAAGCACTGGGCAGGGGGGGCTCCGGGCCGGCAGCCGCGGTGCCTCGGTTAATGCCGGGCCCCGCTGCAGCTGGAGGCGCTCCCGGGGTTCCCTCACACCCGGACCAGGGCCCGGTAGCAGCCGCCGTTCCCCGGCTCTAAGCGCCTCACAGCGCCGCCGGACCTGCGCAGGGCCGAGGGCCGGGCCGGGCCGGGCCAAGGAAAGCCAAGTTAGTAAGCTAAGCTAAGCTAAGCTAAGCTAAACTAAGCTAAGCTAAGCTAAACCAGGCTGTGTCCCAAGGCATCCCGTCAGCCACACCAGCTCCCCGGGCTCCGCCTTCCCGCATTACCTGGGGGTCCCGTGAGAAACACGTGCTTGGACATGGTGGGGGCCGCGCTGCGCGCTCCGCCCCCGGCCCGGCCCCGCTCCACCCTCGCCCAGAGCTCCGCCCCCGGCCCGGCCCCGCTCCGCCCCCGGGAGGAGGGCTCCAAAGCCGGGGCGGGCGGTGCCCCCGAGGCCGCGGGCGCGACGGGCCCTGCCCGGCCTGAGGCCGTCTCGGAGGTGGGGCSCAGGGAGAGRCTGGTRATTRCCGGAGGTTGSRAGCGATTTAAGGTTMGGGAAGAAGGGGAAAWATACAATTCATTTACTAGTTCAGGSCAGCGTTTTCTTTTTCCAGTTAGCTTGACCTATTACATGTCTGAGTCATTAATACAATAATGGAATGTTAAGGTGTTGGAATAACCTTAAACATCASTCCAAGTCCCCCTGCCATGGGCAGGGACACCTCCCACAAGATCAGRTTGCTCAAWGCCCCATCCAACCTGGCTTTGAACACTGCCAGGGYTGGGGCATCCACAGCCTCCCTGRGCAACCTGTTCCAGTGTCTCACCAYCCTCAAGGTGAAAAATTWCTTCCTAATATCTAACCTAACTTTTCTCACTTTCAGTTTGTACCCATTACTCCTTGTCCCATCACTACAGTTCCTGATAAAGAATCCCTCTCTGGCATCCCTGTATCCCCCTYCAGATAATTGGAAGGTTGCCGTGAGGTCTCCACACAACTTTCTCCAGGCTGAAGAGACCCAACTTTTTCAGCMTGTCTTGGGAGGGAAGGTGCTTCAGTCATCTTACCAACTTCACAGCCTCTTCTGGCCCTGCTCCAACAGTTCCTATGTTCTTKTTATGTTGGGGACACCMGAACTGTACRCAGTTCTCCAGGTGGGGACTCACAAGTGCAGAGATTTAATAATATGTTCTCCCTACAGCTTTTTATCTGTTTCAAGTAAGCAACATGCTCCTGGGTGTGCCAGTTCAATTAAACCAGTCAATTAAAAGATGAATAGTTTGTCCGATAACTCAATGCAGACAGCAAATGTAACTTTGATTACAAAGSGGGGTTGGTATACAGGCAGGGGGTTGTTACAAAGCTAAGCAAACTGGGTCACAAATAGGAAGGTCTGGCAGATTTAACAAAGGCTTATCGATATCTGCATCCCATCCCAAGGCATGTAGCCTCCTTATTTGTTTAGACTTGGATGACAGGGAGCAGTAAGGAAGCAGGGAAAAGGATTTTTGTGGGGAAGACTRTGGTGCACATGCTTCTCTCTGGGTCAAGTAATGCCCTGATGCCAAGGCATACTGATTCCTGCCTGGCCATAGGCACCAAAATGGTTACCCAAAAAATACTGGACTATGAAAGGGATACATCCCAATTTCTGCTTGCTTCAGCTAGACTGGATCACTTCAGGTTCAGCCCATTTTTGTTAGGCTTTCATTTTCAGTAATTTCTGAAGGAGTTAAAGGTTATTTGTCATTTTAACAAAGATAATGAGTATCCTTGTCAACCAGATGAAATGTGCACATCAGCAGGTAGAGTGTACCTCACAGTAGATGGGTATTTCCATATATTGAGCAAAATATCTTTGATCTGTGCATCACATATAGCCACTCTTCCTTATATTTTTTTATGTTCTTAGAAGGATGAAGAGAAACCCTCTATTGAGTGACTCTGCATCTTTAAAACATACAATACTTTCAGGTCAGCTAGAACTGAAATCTGTGCAGATTGGTGGGTTATCCAACAATGTGAAGSATGCAACCAGCTATTTCCCTGCATAATAAGGGTACCTTGTACCACTACATTTTTGGCTTCTGAGGAATTAAAAAGTCTGTTTCAGTTTCCAGTTACAGTCCAGTTAAGGGTCAGCACTCTTGTGCAGTAGAAATTATCACCGCTTTCAGGATCAGAAATTGCAACAAAGAGATGTTTAGAGATGGGGTTAATGAATTACATATTAGGTCCCTTGGGTGGCATGCAGAAACAGACCTGATGCCTAGGAATCTCAAGGCAGTGTGGAGGGAAACTTGCCGGTAGGAAACAGGAATGYTCAGAAACAGTCCTTACCCCTCATCCTGGTGCAATGTTTCAGTGTTAGAGGAACATTTCTCTTCAGTGGGACTTTATAAATCAGGACCTTTCACAGCTGTTCTACAATTGTAGATGAAACACTTCTGTTTTACGTGATAGACTGTTTAGTCAGATAGTAGGAGACATGCATCTTCTTCAACTGCAGCCTCATGGGAGCTGAAATCCATGTTGTCCATTTGCCAGGAGAACATCCTTATAAGCAGATTCACAGGCTATTCCTGTTAAGGTTGAGATGCGTTCAAGCTGATCAGGCCAGGCAGGGCATAGTTAAGATGTTAATGTGGAGGAAGGGAGACCTAGTTTCTGCCCTCACCAACATTATATAGTTACTGGATATATTGCATATAATCAATTCACTGGGTATGTTACATATAATCAGTACATTTCTGTTTTACATAAAATGTGGGGAGACATCTGGGGCAAAACTCAAGTATCACTTCCAAGCAGACCAGGGAATTGTTCTTACCACACTTAAGAACATCTGTACCTTTCTTTGGCCTAACTGCTTCACAGGATCTGCCCATAGGTAATTTCAGAGGGCAGATTGTAACTCCAAATACTTGTTTGCTTGTTCTCTGCTTTCACTGGTGTTCAGATTAAGTCAATTTATCTTTGTCTTAAACATAATGACTTTTATTTTGCATTTCACAGGGGTACTGGGGAATATGTTTCATGCTTAAATACTAAATTAAAAATTCTTGACAAATCTGGCGTACTTCTTGGGGGTTTGGAGGGTCAAGAAATAACAAAGACAGCTTCCCTTGTCATCTAAAATGAAAACTGCATTTTCATAGTTTACATTCTAGTACTCTGTTTTGGTGGCTTTTTATGATCAATGATATTGTGATGTTAACTTATAGCTTCTTGAGGGTGTTTGTCAGGCACCTTTAATCTAAAGAGAGAGCAACATAGAAGAACTTCATGTTTTAATGGACTATTAACACTAGAACAACACATTACAGCTGGCTACTTCACCCTTGCCCCAAACTTCCTGTGCAGAGCTTACCATGATTGATTTTACAGGTAGGTTTTCTGTATAATATTAAACTATTTCAGTCTTTTGGCTGGTCTCCGAGGCAGACCACATAAAGAGACCCAGACAATGCTGTTTTGTTCAATGTAGAATTTTACCAGATTTTACAAATCAACCTTTTTTCTTTCAGAAGTGTGTGTGGAGAACTTTAAGGCCACCGCTACAATTGGAGAGAACCCTTGTTTTCTGGTATTCTAAGAACTATTCAATCCCCTTTATAGATACAGCACTCTCAGAGTTATTTCGCTGTGTGGTTAAGACCTTTGTCTTGCAAAGAGATGTGTGAGCAAAGTAGTTGCAGCAACAGAGTTTAAATTAGTATTTCACTTTAATTTCCATGTGATTTCTACTAGAAAATGTTTTGTCTTTCTGGATGCTCTGTATAGGTTGAAGTAATTTGAAAGCATGAAAGCCATGAAGTAGTTATGCCAGTTGTGCTTTTGTAGAGTTTTGCTGTWAATTGGACCTTATGTTTGCTAAATTACCTGGAATTTTTATGTGTATTTTGACAARGATCCCTTTGATATATTTATTCYGTAATCAGGRACTGCATAGAAGATGCAGATTGTTCAAGAAGCATAAGCTGCAGGGCACAAGTTTCTTCTTTGTGGTTATATGCTGGAACTAGTAGGCTTTGTAGTCAGCCTGTTTSCTCTCCTGATTTGGGTATTTTTGCATTCTTGGCTGGAGATGTTTAGTTGAAGTAAGAAGAATCAGCACATACCTAGTAATGCAGATAACTCTAAAAGCAAATAGGTAAGTGAATTTTATTCCTTCCAGAATAAGGAGAGAAGAACCCAGCTTTTCTTCTTCCAGTATGGGTAACTTAATTAGTAGTAATCTATTCCTAAAAAGTTCCCAGTTCAAAATATTTTCCTGGCCAATAACGTAAACTCTGGCTAACGTAAACGTAAGCCTAGGTGACAGTCTGTAAAATTCAATTCATGCTGAATTGAATTGTAYGACTGGGCAAGGCCATGAAAAAACYATTTGCAAAAAAACCCCTTCTGCAGTTCCAGGGGCAGGCTGTGATTCTGGGTRACCTGTGGAGACCTTGGAAGGAGCTGCCAATCATTGTTATGAACTGTTAGCTAAGCCTGGGGAAGCTTGCATTTATTGCTGGATGTTGACTAAAAAAAAAAAAATTGGATAGAGTCCTAAACCTTTATGTTGAATGGGGTAAAATTAATTAACTGCAAGTTTCCAGACCAGTGACTAAGAAAAGAGGCCATTTATGATATTTATGGTATTCCCTAGAGTAGAAGCTGGAAGGAATGAGAGTGTAATCTACCATCTCTGACCTGCCTCACTAGGCAGGAGTTTATATTTTCAGCACTCTGCCTSAAGGTGGGCAAAGTAGCTTGTTACAGTTTTAGCCCTCAGTTTATCTGGTGTTGGGTTTTGGAGTTTTCCCCCTCATAGAAGAGGGAATGGTTAAATTGAAACCCTTTTCTTTCTCTCCAGTGGAACTTGTATTTTTGATTCACAGAACCTCAAACTGGTATAGCATTTTTCTTACATTGTGATAAGGAAGTACACTTTAAAAAAAAATAACACTTCATATGAGAGAGTTCCTTATATTGTCCTTGTTCCCCCCTGCAGAGAATTCTCCTGCTCACAGATTGTGGGTCTACTGTACACCACTGGCCATCTAATGATATTAGTGATGGCATTTCAGAGTTGACTTTTGTTTTGCCTGTGGAGTAGTCATGGCATCAGCAGGCGTCTGTGAGTAAGTATTGAGCATCTACAGCCTGACAGTCTTCAAACTTCCCAGAGAGATAAGCCACTAGCTACATGTGGAGCTTCCTCTAGATGAAAACTGGGGTCCTCCTTTTATCACAGGTTTACCTATAGATCTTTTATTTTGTGGGTCATGCAGCAGAAATCGTTTATGTTCCATCAGTGGTTGTGTCATCCARAACAGAAGAAATTCCTGAAAGTATT